ACATTAATACGTTTAATAGATACTATTATATAGAATCTGTTACAAACGTTTCGGGACTTACCATTCCACCCCAAGGCTGTTAGCTACAGTAGGGAAAATGATCATCGACGGGTGTCTACGGTTGTACCTTTTCGGCGAGTTTCCACGGCGTGAATATCCTAGTGCAAAAGGATACATCTTTAGTTATTATATTATTTTCCTTCCTTTACTTTGTGATACATTCACATGAACGACGAGGTAGGGTATATTTGATATAGATAAACTATTTTCCTTATTACCTTTATATTGTGACTCATACACATAAACGACGAGGTAGACTATAACTTTTATAGTAATAGTTAACAGGGAAAAACCGTCACATTTACAGTGATGCTTACTTACAAAATAGTTGGGTCTTAGTAGAAGACTACTTTCAACACAGTCGGGTCTTAGTAGAAGACTACTTTCAAAATAGTCGAGTCTTGGTAGAAGACTACTTTTATACTAGTAGGAAATATGAAATTTTCTAGGGTTTTCAAACATTTACAAGTCTTTACTTTACAATTTTACAAATCAAAGACACATTAATACTTATGAATTCACCAGCTTTTGTTGCTGATATTCGCTTTCAAAATAACTTGTATTCTCAGGTCACAAATAGACAGGTACGACGACCAGATTTTGTGAAGACGAAGCAGTCAAGACTCGTCTTTTATTTTGAGTATTCATTATGTTGTTTTATACTATGAAAGAACACACTTGTAATTAAGTTTATACTATCAATGCAATGAATGATGTTGTTGCTTGCTTACTACTTTACATTGTTGTGATACACTACATGACATCCTCCGCCTCATAACGTTTCCGCTGTTCTCGGTTTTGGGGTGTGACAATATGGCTCGTGATTGTCAAAAAGAGCCTACAGAGGAAAGTAATGCAGTTACAACACAAGACAAAGAAGCTTAGGATGCTGAAGCATTCTTTGCTAAAGAAGAAACTGTCTTGGCTCTTACTGATATTTCTAAAAGTAGTTGTAATAAACTTAATGAATGGATCATAGACTCTGGGTGCCCGAATCATATGACAGGAGATAAGGAAAAACTACAAACTACAGCAAAGTATGGCGGCAGTAGAGTTGTGGTGATTGCAGATAATTCAAAACTCCCTATAACTAACACTTGCAATGTATGTCTTCCACCAGACAACAACAAGAAAGAGTTAAAACTCAATAGTGTGTACCATGTACCAGCTTTGAAAAAAAATCTTCTATCTATGTCCCAAATAACTTCAGTAGGTCACTATGTTGTATTTGGGCCTAATGGAATGAATATCTATGAAAAGTTTGAAACAACATCTACACCAGTCCTTCAAGGGCGAAGAAGTGAGTCTATATATGTTCTTTTAGTAGAGTTGGTGTATATTGATAAGACTAAAAGAAATGAGAATGTTGACTTGTGGAACACACGAATGAGCCATGTAAGTTATGATAAGTTAGACTTAATGATGAAGAAAAAGATGGTGAATGGGTTGCCTCAACTTAAAGTGAGGAAGGAGCTAGTTTGTGTCGAGTGTCAATTTGGAAAAGCTCATAGATTACCTTATGAGAGATCAATTTTTAAAGCAAAGGAACCTTTAGAACTTGTGCATTCATATGTGTTTGGTCCAATTAAACAACCTTCAGTCAAAGGGATGAAGTACATGATAACCTTCATTGATGACTTCTCACGATACTTATGGGTGTACTTTATGAAAGAGAAGTCAGAAGCCTTCTTAAAGTTCAAAGAATTCAAAAGTGAAGCAGAGAGTATGATCACAAAAAGCATTTGTTGCTTACGATCTGATAACGGTGGGGAGTACTTAGCCTTGGAGTTTACTGAGTATCTCAAGGCACATAATATAAGAAGACAAAATGGGTGTCAATAAGGAAGAATCGACACTTGACTGACATAGCAGTAAGTATGGTTTATGATAAGAATGTTCATGGATGCTTTTGGGCAGAATCAATGAAGACCGCAACTTATGTAATCAACCGGATACCACAACAGGGTCTTCAATATTTGTCTTCGTTTGAAAAACTGTTCAATACAAAACCTAATGTCAACCACCTTCGTGTATTTGGTTTGTGTGTGCTAATGCTACGTGTTTATCCCTAATCACCTTTGCCATAAACTGGAATAGAAAGCAGTGAGGTGTATCTTTGTAGGATATGATCAGGAGGGAAAGGGTTGGAGGTGTTGTAACCCAGTCACAGGGAAGTGCTATGTATCAAGGGACGTTGTGTTCGATGAAACGTCTTCCTGGAGATCATCCAGTCGTGAAGTGTTACCTGACTTCGAAACACTTAAAGAAGAACTTCAATCATCCAGAGTTAACCTTAACCTTAATGAACATGAAGTTGTTATTGAAGATGAAAATGTTGAAGTCCAAGTTCAACAACCATGGCAATCTGGTTTATTTCATCAAGTTGACTCCAATGGTGATGATATTGAAGCATCAGGAGTAAGACGCTCCAATAGGTTAAAGAAACCTAACCCAAGATATGCAAATGTAGCCATAGTAAGTGAAGTACAAGAACCCAACTCGTATGACCAAGCATGTGATGTACTAGAGTGGATTGCAACAATGAAAGAAGAGATCTCATCCCTAATGAAGAATCTGACCTCAGAATTGGTTCTAGAGCTAAAAGATGTAAAGCCCATCTCGTGTAAATGGGTTTACAAGGTGAAAAGAAATGCAGATGGATTAATGGAAAGGTTTAAAGTTCGTCTTGTAGCCCATGGTTTCTCACAACAGTTTGGTTTGGATTATAAAGACACATTTAGCCCTATAGCCAAGTTAACAACAATCTGTGTTCTCCTTGCCCTAGCCACTAGCAAAGGATGGAGCTTGTGGCAAATGGATGTCAGTAACGTGTTTCTTTACGGAGACCTAGATCACGTAATTCATATGGTACAACCAATCGGTTTTGAAAGTAAGTTGCACCCAGGTCATGTATGCAAACTAAAGGAAGTCCTCTATGGACTGAAACAGTCCCCAAGGGCATGGTTTGGGAAAATCGCAGAATTTCTTCATTACAATGGATTCTCTATAACAACTGTAGATGCAAGTTTATTTGTAAAGATGAGTAGTGACAAAGTTGAATCGTCTTAGTGTATGTAGACGACCTAATCATTACAGGTGACCTTGTAGATGTGATTAAGCAGTTAAAAGAAAACCTTTCTGTACGATTTCATATGAAGGATCTTGGGAGGCTGAAACACTTTCTTGGACTGGAAGTGAATTATGATGATCAAGATATTGTCTTACATCAACACAGATACACAAGTGACCTACTAAAATGGTTTGGTATGATCGAGTGTAAACCGGCTGTGACACCTATGGACTCCAATGTGAAGCTCTATGCAAATGCTGGTAGAAAGCTTGAAGATGCAACCATGTACTTGAAAATTGTGGGTAGTCTTATTTACTTGGCATTGAAAAGGTCGGATATTGCATTTGTGGTTGGAGTGCTCAGTCGATACATCCAAAGTGCAAGAAAAACTCACCTAGATGTTGTTCGGAGAGTTCTAAGGTATTTAAACGCAACTATTAATTATGGAGTCATGTTTAAGAGGGGACCAGAATGCAACTTAGTTGGCTACTGTGACTCAAACCATGTTGGAGATGTAAGTACTCGAAGGTGAACAACCGGCTATGTCTTTATGCTTAGATTGAGTATTGTGTCTTGGTGTAGCAAACGTCAACCCACTATAACTTTGTCTACAACAGAAGCTGAATATCGAGCTGCAGCAATGGCAGATCAAGAATGCATGTGGCTTGTACAATTGTTGAAGGGTCTGAATCAAGATGTGGGCTCCAAGATTTCACTGATCTGTGACAACTTGTCTTCCATTCAACTAGACAATAACCCTTACATTCCATGCTCGAACAAAACACATTGAGGTTCACTACCACTTTATCCGGGAGAAGGTATTTGATGGTGACATTCACTTGATATATGTGAACACCAAAGACCAGGTAGCTGATCTGTTCGCAAAGAGCTTATCCAGTGAGAAGCTTGCTGATTTCTGTGACATTATGGGCATGGTGGAAGTAGGTGTTGAGAGGGAATGATGAAATTGCAACACCTTCTTTACGTGTGTGCATTTACCTGAGATGCACATCTCTATCTTACTATTTATAGCTTTGTGTTAGTTTACTTTATTTAATCATTTTCCATGTTTTACTAGTTATTGACTTGGTCTAAGTTAGTGGTCCAAGGTCTATGCAGTGGCATCTAGATTTTCAGTTTCCTGTTTTCAATTAAACAATCACGTGAAGTCAAAATCATTGTGTTCTCTCTCTGCAAGTTCTAGCCTTTGTCACCTTCTTGTTGTGTACAAGTTGCAGGAAACCCATTTCAGGTTAACATGTGAAGAATGGTGGAAAGAAGAAGAGGAGAATCGTCGTTTTTGGAGGATTCGTCTGTCATGATGAAAGAGAAGAAGAGAGATGACGGCCATGAATTATTAGGCTGTTACCATATTAGGTTTAAGTAATCACCATGGTTTGATGAGATATGCATTAATCAATAGTATATAATAGTTACAGAGTACAACAAACTATCTAAATTACAGGATATACAAAAACAGATCCTATAAACTAGGATAAGCTAAGATTAACTCTATTATTTGGTTTAGAAATGTTACAGGATATACAAAAACAGATCCTGTAAACTAGGATAAGCTAAGATTAACTCTATTATTTCGTATAGAAATGAAAAAAAAAAAAAAAGCATGATGGTTTTTGGAACTCGAGAATCAAAATATTGAGGACAAGACTTGATTACATTGAATGATGTAATCAAACCAAGTAACTTTCCAACAGTTTGGGCAGATCGCCTGTGACAATTGCTTGCCTGCAGGTTAAGGTTCATCTGTTAGGATTGATAGCAAAACAAAATTTCGAATGCAGAAAACAGAAAATAAAGGAATACCATTTTTACATCTTCAGTCATTCGCACGAGATCGACATGTGTCTTGTTAGGAGGTTAACATCTCATTCTTGAATTCTGACATGGTACACTTAAGCTCCAAATTTAACAGAAACGACATATATGCTACCCTACGAAATCGAAACCAAGTTTTAAACTACAACATGGGTTCTTCATGTATGCATAACACTTGTATTTTCTTCTAATATAATTATAATTTTGGCAGAAAATTAATTATTGTCATATCAATTTCACAATTCTTACCAAAGTAAGATAACCAATACAAAACAAAGAAAGTAGCTGTTATAATCTTCTTATCGTTTTTTTATTGGCTTTTTTCCGAGCCTTCTGACCCTCTCAAAATCATCCCTGGAGCACCACACTTAGAGGAAACTACTATATTGGGGACTGATGTTGCCTGAGTTATTCACAGATCCACATAGTTGAAATTCCCTGAGTCTAAGCTTCGTATCTCGGATCTAAAACCAGATGACTGAAGCAGCCCTCTTGACCCAATAATACGTAGCCCTTTCAAGAAGAAGATGTTCTCCGGAAGATTTCTTATGCTCGTACCTCTTAAATCTAACTTTTCTAAACATTCTAAACGCTCAAATTCCTCAGGCAATTTCTCAAGTTGAATACAAGAGTACAGACAGAGATATTTTAGACACTTCATCTTACAGATGCTGTCTGGGATATCTGGTAAAAACCTGCAATGGTTGAGTTCGAGATTCTCCAGACATTCCAAATGGCCAAGATCAGCAGGTAACTTCTCAAGCAATGAACAACCAGGGAGTTTGAGAGATTCGAGATATTTCAACATGCAAATGCTATCAGGAAGATCTTTAATCTTTGCACCTATCAAAGTTATCTCCTTTAAACATTCTAATCGGCCAAGATCATCAGGTAACTTCTCAAGCAATGGACAATAACCAAGATTGAGAGATTCAAGATGTTTCAGCTTACAAATGGTATCAGGAAGATCTTTAATATTTGTATCATACAGATGTAGCCTTTCTAGACATTCTAGCTGGTCAAGCTCCTTGGGAACCTCTGGAAGACTGCCTTGGAGTGTAAGCTCTCTTAGATGTTGTAACCCACAAATGCTTCTAGAAAATATCTCAAGGTTTGTGCAAGGACACAGACCTAAGGAAATCAGGTTTCCAAGGTTTCTTGTAAATAAGGGTTGATCTTCAGCATACAAACATAAAAACTGAAACTTTGGAAATTTATTTTCGGGGTGAACTGGGCATTCATCTAGGGACTCCGCAATCATATACAAATTAGCTAAAGGAACAACCTTAAGTGGTTCATCATGGCTACAAAAAGAATAATCCTTTCTACAAGAACCATCATTCTTTATTTCAAACTTAAAAGATTTAAACCTCAAACAACCACTTAAGTCTAAGTAGACAAGCTTTTTGAGACATTCATCGGCCACATGAAGTTCTAGAAGATTGGAACAGTTTTTAAGATCTATCGTCTTGAGATTTGGAGTAAGCCTGAGGTCAAGGTTCCTAAACTTTGAACCACTAATTTTGAGGGATGTGAGCTTTTGAAATCCATTGGCCATGTGAAGTTCTTCCAAATCAGAACAATTTTTAAGATCTAACATCTTGAGATTTGGAGTAAGCCTGAGGTCAAGGTTCCTAAACTTTGAACCACTAATTTTGAGGGATGTGAGCTTTTGAAATCCATTGGCCATGTGAAGTTCTTCCAAATCAGAACAATTTTTAAGATCTAACATCTCAAGATTAGGAGTCATCCTGAGGTCAAAGTTCCTCAAGCTTGAACAATTAATGTAAAGCGATTTGAGCTTTTGACATTCATCAGCCATGTAAAGTTTCTCCAAATCATGACAATTTCTAAGATCTAAAAACTCAAGATTCGGAGTCAGCCCAATGTCAAGGGTCCTCAACTTTGAATCCCATAGTTGGAGGTATCTCAGATTTGGAGCTCTACCAGGCATTTGAAGTTCTATCAAATCCGAACAATCGTCAAGGTATAACCACTCGAGATTGGGAGCTGACCCAAGGACAAGGGTCCTCAACATCGAACAACTGAGTTCAATGCTTATGAGCTTTACACATTCAGTATGCATGTGAACTTCAACCAACTCATTGCATCCTGTAAGATTCAGTGTCTCGATATTTGGAGTAAGCCCAAGATCAAGGGTCCTTAACATTGAATCCCTTACCTCAAGGAATCTGAGCTTGTGAAGAACCTAAAATAAGCAAAATAAAAAGATGAATATATATATATATATATATATATATATATATATATATATATATATTAGTGTAATAACAAAGCATTGGATGTATATATTTCAAATGAGTGACACAAAAGAGACAATCAACCATAATTCTACCTTTCTTTCTTCTCCTTCCCAAAGTTGTACCATTCTGCTGTGAGTAATCTGAAGTGCAACAAGATTTTCTCCTTGAAATGTTTTGGGTAAATACCTAAAAGGGTAATAGCTCCAACGCATATATCTTAAAGCGTTCAATTTATCAAACTTCCATTTTTGATGAGAACAATCACTTGTATTTGCATCAATAAATGGCGTTGACACACCAAGAAATCTAAGTTCCTTCATCTTTCTAAGACCTTTCATCACAATTTCCGGACTGAGTTTACACCCGTTGAACAATATATATCTTGTTGCTTTAGTACCCTGTAATCCAAAAAGAATGCACCATGAAATTTGTGTCGTAATAAATCAAAATATGTTAGTTTCAACTTAGAAATAAACTTGATTCCTACCAAGTCATTAGTCAATACATCTTCAAGTTCCTTGCCAATCCACAATCGACTATGTTTATAAGGCTTATCAGGATGCGAACGACGAACAATATTCTTGCCCATTTCTTCAATATGATCATGCATTCCCAGAACTCTTAAACCATATCTAGCATTAACAGCTATGAGAGATTTTTGCTCAAGAACTCTTAAACCATTTCTAGCATGAAATCCACAGCTTTCAAGCGTTTTGATTGCTAAGGCTTTTGACTGTCCTTTCAGTATGCATGCAACATTAAGGAATATTTCCTTGTAATCCTCCTCTAGACTGATATAGCTTATTTCCAACTTTTGCAGAGTTTCCATTAACGGAATTGTTTTAAGTCTTTCTAGGGCATCTATCCATTCAAGCTCATTTTTACCACAAAGAAACGAAGCCAGAACTTTGATCGTTAACGGAAGCCCAGCAGCATAATGCACAACTTGTTGTGATAGCTCTTCATACCCTGGATTTGGATTCATTCTCCCAAATGCATACTTACTAAAGAGGCAAATTGCTTCCTCATCCAATAACAACACGACGTTATGAATCGACTTCACTCCATGTGCCACGAGCACTTGCTCATCTCTTGTTGTAATGATAATTCTGCTTCCTGGCTTAAACCAATTTGTCTCACCGGCTAAGGCCTCAAGCTGCTCTAAATGATCCACATCATCTAGAACAAGAAGAACCTTTTTACCAGGCATCCTCCTCTTCATCTTGTTTTTTCCGTCATAAACACTACTAACAGAGATGCCCTGATCATCATTGAAGACATCAGAAAGAATTTGATTTTGCAACGACTTCAATCCAGACAAAGAAGCTTTTGAAACTTCCCTTACATTCTCAACGAAGCTTGCACCTTCGAATTGAAAGGATATTTGATCAAAAACAGCTCTGGCCAAAGTTGTCTTCCCACCACCTCCCATTCCCTTGATCCCGATCATGCGAACATCATTCAAACTAGTATCTAGAGATGATAAAACATCACAGATTCGGGTCTCCATGCCTACCAATTTCTCATCAAAGCTAAAATTGATGGATCGTAACTCTAGTGAAATCTCTCCAACAACTTTTTGGATGAATTTCGCTTCATGTCTGTATTTTAAAGAAGGTTTAATTAGCTTACTTAAAAATTCCACATGCATAATTAGTTTCAGATCAACAAACAAATGTAAATGAAGTAATAACAGAGTTGTATAATCATATTTCAAGTTCAATCTTTTAACAAGACTCCGAATTTGAGTTAAAATTTAAGAATATACAACATGAGATGCCATGTCCAAGCCTTTTACATCAATGGTGAACTCAGATTACAAAAAACAAAATGAAAGAATATTGCAGATATATGATTGACAGAATTGTAAAGACCGTGCGTATGAAAATACTGAAATTGGAAACCCATTTCGAATAATAATGACTAGCAATTATATCTTTCATCGTTTTGAGCTGAAATTATAAGAAATTGAATATCGATGGCGCTTGTGTAATGTTTCTATTATATTATACCTTGATTGAAACAAAAAATGTGGCCAAAATTGATGAGAAAGACTAGAACCACGAGCAGCAAAATCAACGAATAATGCAAAAAATATGATGAAGTGATTACCTATCGGCAGTGTTCTTCAACTCCCATCCAGCCAGATCCGCTGCTTCTTTTAGAGCACCCCTCCACTTCTCTGCGGCCTCTTCATTTTCATGATCGGCAAAGGCTTTTTCAACTGCCCCACTTTGTCTGCGGACTTCTGATGGTTCCACATCATAGAAGACTGGGTAGGCGGTATGCTCGTTGGTTTTGTGACATTCCATTATCTTCACAAGCTCATCCAAACACCAAGTCGAAGAGGCATAGTTTTTTGAGAAAACAATGATGTAGAGCTTTGAATCTTCTATGGATCCGATGAGATCATCACTGATCTTTTTGCCCTTGTTGATTCTTTCGTCGTCTTTGTAAGTGTGAATGCCGTTCTGTTGTAGAGCATAGTAAAGATGATCAACGAAACTTCTACGAGTGTCTTCGCCTCTAAAACTCAAAAACACATCATACTTAAATGTCTTGTGGACGAATGAAGTGGAAGAAGACGCCATTAATGGTATGCGGAGGCTAAATTTCAAATCTGTATCAGGAGGTAGTAATTGCGAAGAGGCCCCTATGAGAATTGATATAACTATATTATACTCAACAACAATGGTTGTGTCACATTGAAAGTGATCCCCAAGATTACCCTCAAAATTCAAAACCCCCCAAGCCACACAAACGCTATCCTTAGTATATAGATTATCGGTATTTTAAAAACACCCTCTCTTTTCTTACTAAAAAGTTTTTATTTTTTATTTAGATTATTTTTCTGATTTTTATATGATTTTCTCTGATTAAATCATTTATTTTCCGATGTTTTTTTTCTGGTTTTTTTAAGGGAATTCATAACTATTTTTTTGGTTGGAACCGATTTTTCTTTTTTATTTTGTTTTTCTTATTTAGATTATGATTCCGATTAAATCAATAACTTTTCTAATTTTTTTTTACTTTAAAAAATTTAAAGATAATTTTTAGTAGGAATAAATTTGATTTTCTTGTCTAGAAAACGGAATTCGGCGATGGTTATATTGTAAAACATAACTTTAGCAAATTTATTGTTTTAAAGTTTAAAAGGTTATAAAGTCTGATAGCCTAAAAACTGATTTTTATACTAAATGAACTTTTTTAAAATAAATATTATTATGGGTAGAATTTTTACCTTACCACTTTTAATATCTTGAACTCATTCTAACATCCCGGGCAGCCCAAAATCTTCAATTTAATCAATATCTAAAACTGTTCATGGTATTGCTCCTAGGACAAGAAAATACCGTTTTTATCTCGTGTGACTTTAATGCCTAAAAAATGATGCAATGGCCCGAGATCTGTCATGGCAAACGCTATTGACAAGTCATTGATAATTTGCTTCCATAATCCTGTGTTAGAAGTTGTGTCAGAAGCCGTTAAAACAATGTCTTCAACATAAAGTAATAAAAAAGCTATAAGAGCGCCTTTGCGATAAACAAAAAGTGATGTGTCACTAATGCTGATCCAAAATCCTTGGGTAACAATGAAGGAAGAAAACTTGTGGTACCAAGCTCGTGGGAATTGCTTAAGTCCATACATACAGGGACTTCTTAAGCTGACAAAAGAGTTTGGGAGCTTTCGGGTTACTAAATCCTGGTGGTTGATGCATATATACCATTTCCTGGAGATTTCCATGTAGAAATGCATTTTTGACATCTACCCGATGGATTGGCCGTGATTTAGAAATTGCAAGCGTGAGATGGGACCGGAAGGTTTACCGGGTCGGGACGGAAGTCCCCTGAGACACATGGACTGGAAGGTCATGGCCTGGAAGGGCGTATGTGTGTAAGTGGTATATTGGGGAACTCACTAAGCATTTATGCTTACAATTGTTATGTTATCTGTTTCAGGTACTAGCGAGGACCCTGGGAAGGCGCCAACATGACTCGTACACACACACACACGCAGGCGGATTTGGATTTAATTGATCTTGGGATTTGATATGTTTTGTACTATGATTATGATACATTGGATTTTTATGGTTTGACTTGGATGAAATTATGATTTTAAGAATTGAATTTTTTTTTTTTTGAAAAATTACGTTGTTATATATACCCTTCAAGTTTGTGACTATGATACAGAGGTCACAAACAAGGCCTGAATAACCATGCAAATTGCTTGATACTCTTGATGTCACTTATCACCTAATCAATGTGTCAGTTAAGCACTCACGTTCCATTGATCTATGAAAAACATCTTGCTACCCTTTGCCACCCTTGTCAATCCCAAATTAGTGTGTCATTTAACCACACAGGTTGCATTAACGACTTGACACAGGTTGCACTACCCTTTGAAGTTCCATATGATTCCTAGAATTATTCCAACTTGGTGGTTAAATTCTTGGAAGGGTTTAAGGCATAGAAACACCCCTTTGAGGAGTTTATGGCCCTAAGGCCATTTCCCTTAGAGTTTGCAGCCGTAAACTCTTAAAGATGGGTGTTTTTGATGTTTTCAAGTCTTATTCACATGTAGTTGGAATCTAAGGCATACATGTAATAAGGTTCAAACCCACTTGGTAAGGAAGTCAAAGCAGATAACATTCCATGGCTTACATAGATGTTGTGCAAAGCATCCTTCTGTGAGCAGTTATGTAATAGCTTTTTTGAATCAATACAGTTGGTTGTTGAATTGTGAAATTTGTTTGTGGGTTGCAGTTTTTGTGAAGTTTGCTAGGATGTTTGACATTAGTTTAGAGTAGTTATATATATAAGATAGTTGTTTGATTCATACAATTAGTGTGGGAAGTATTAACAGAGTTGAGTATTTTCTTCAAAACATTAACAACAACATCAATCACAACAAAAGACATGGAAAGGATTGAAACTGAGATCTGAATAATATTATGTAAATTAGAGACCATCTTTGTCCCTGGTATTTTTAACTCCATGTAACATTTACCCGTAGATTTGCCATATGAAGCGAAGATAGTCGGTCCTGTCCAATATCGGTGGATGTGTCCATTTGAAAGGTTTGTATGGTACATCGTAATGTATGTTGCTATTTTTGTAAGCTAATTTAAATAATCTTTACTATAGGTATCTAAATAAGTTGAAAAAAGATGTGAAAAATAAAGCTCGAGTGGAAGGGTCCGTTGTTAACGTGTACTTGCTACGTGAAGCATCAATATTTTTCTCTCATTATTTAGAGATTGGTTTCCCCACACGTAATAGAAAGTCGCCTCGAAATGATGATGGAGGAGGAGATGAGCAAGCGGATGCTAACAATGACATGTTAGATATATTTTCATATCCCGGGCGTCATTATGGAAGATTCACGATTAGAATGATGTCTGATGAGGAAGTGAATGCTACCCAAACTTACATACTCCTTAACAAAGATAAGATCAAGCATTATATCAAGTTCGTACGTAATATATGCATCACTTTCAATTATAATCATAATCATTTGGTCTATAATTGCTATGATCGAATAACATTTACATGCATGATTTTGTTTATTACATTCATAGTTACTTTAAAATGTTATTGAAATGTTGATATACAGAATATTTGAAGAACATTTGAATGAACTTATAGGGGATATGGATGAACAGGTCCTTGCAGCTGAAGTTGAGAAGAACTTTGCATTATGGTTTCAAAACTACGTGGGTGTTATTTTTGTATTTTTTTTAAAATTTATTATTTTTTGTTATGGTTATAATTAACTCTAATTAAGTGTTTTACCATTTTTCATATAAGCACGTAAGATCCCAATAAACAACAAGTATATATCTAACCTTTCCAAAATGCCATTCAAAAAGTGAAATTATATAGTGTATACTTTGTCAATGGTTACAAGTTTCACGCAGAAGCTCATAGTCTGAACAATTTAACAACCAATAGTGGATTGTGTGTTAGTAGCCCAGGAGGTGATTATTATGGTAAGGTAGACGAAATTTTAGAAGTCGAGTACCCTGGTTACCCAATTAAAACCACGGTTTTGTTAAAATGTCATTGGTATGATCCAACACCTAACATAGGAGTTAAGGTTCATAAACAATATAAATTGGTCGAGATAAACGTCAAAAGAAAATACAACAAGTTCAAGCCATTTGTTTTAGCCATGCAAACCACTCAAGTGTGTTACATTCCCTACCCAAGTTCGAAAACAAACAACTCGGACTGGTGGGTTGTATTTATAGTTAAACCTCGTGGTTGGACCGATGAAAATCATCCTCAGAAAAAAGTTGCTTTCCAAGAAGATGAAGTTGAATCAAATGAAATCATTATACCAAGTCTAGCTGATACAGACAATCATGATGAGGATCACGAAATGTCAAGCAACGGTTCAGATAATGAAAATAATATTAATGAAGAAGGTGAAATTCATGAGGACGACAATGATGGTATTCCTAATAGCGATGGTAGTTATGAGTATAGTACATCGAGTAATGAAGAAGAAGAGGATGAAGAAGAAGAGGAGGAAGAAGATAATGACTAGATGTTTTTGTGTGTTTAATGTTTTTTGCGATGAAGTTAATTTGTAATTTTGTTTAATATCAATACATAAATGTAAACTAGGAAGAAAGCTCGGGCTTCGCCTCGGGATGTTTTTTTTTGTGTTTACATCATTCTGTTAAAAGGACATTTTAGTCATTTTTTCTTGCTATGTTGTTTGATTAGGATGAAGTATTTGTAAAATCCATGTTAATTTTGTGATGAAGTATACTTAATGTAATTAAAAATAAGTTTGTAATGAATTCATTATTAAGGAAAATAATCTGCATAGATTATATATACTTTAACATGCCCGGTTAATGTAATTAAAAATAACTTTGTAATGAATTCATTGTTAATTATTCATTATAATACTATATTTTCAATAAATTATACACAACTTGATTAGCACAATTGGCTTAACCGCGCCCTTTTCTAGCATAAGCTTAAGTTCGAGTCTGCTTTCCAACAATATCTATTCATTTTTACATTTTTAGCCATTAGTTTATGCCACATATTACCAATTCAAAAAAAATTCATTAAAACCATATCTTACAAACTCTAATGATCATAATAATAATTCATCCATAGTATAACAAAATTAATTAAGCATACAACATCCTAATAAATATCGTCACAAATTAGCTACGCATTTTGTTCTATAGCAAAACAAGCAAACGGAGTCATATTCCATAGCAGAATTTCCTAGCAAATACATATGAATGTACTTCCATAGCAATTCAACTATGGAACTGGTTTCCGTCACAAACTCCGTTGCATATTAACCACGATGATGAATTCCATAGCATCAATTCAACAGAAAGTGATTTGGTAACAAATGTCATTGGAAAATTGCTACGAATTTTTGTTCCATAGAACTATCGGTAGCATAATACCAATGGATATGGATTCGGTAGCATTTTCCCTAGCAACTCCCACTCTCACTACCAAAAATAAAATCCGTTGACAATGTGGTAGCAACATTGCGATGGAAAGACATTCCATAGCACGATCCATTGCAGATTAACAACGAAAATACGTTCCGTAGCAACCTTCCCTCGCAAAATCGCGTTTTCTTGTAGTGGTTGGTAGACCAACTTGGCGAGTCAGGTCAACTAGATGTTGACTTTGACCAATGTTGACTTTGACTGAATTGAGTTGACCCTGGTTAGGGTTGCATATTCA